AAACTTCTCTAAAAACCTTGCCAATAATCAAGTGTTCAAAAGACATGGAGCAAGAGGATGTCACATATGCTGCAGCACAGTAGAAATCAGTGCATCACTTATTAAAGTTGACCCGTCAATTCCATTCCTACACACTTATAGACACTAGCAAAATTCTTGCACATGTACACCAGGAGACAAGTATACAATTATTTATAACAGCATTATTTGTAATAAAAAAAAAGACTGAAAACAACCTGAACTTTCCATCAACAGTGAAATGAATAAATGTGATATAGTCATAGCATGGACTAACAAATAGCTGTGGACAGCAGCATGAAGAAGTCTCAGTAGTTTTTTTTCTTTTTAAATTTATTTTTGGCTGCATTGGGTCTTTGTTGCTGCGTGTGGGCTTTCTCTAGTTGCGGCAAGCGGGGGCTACTCTTTGTTGCGGTGCATGGGCTTCTCATTGCGGTGGCTTGTCTTGTTGCAGAGCACGGGCTCTAGGCATGTGGGCTTCAGTAGCTGTGGGGCGTGGGCTCAGTAATTGTGGCTCGTGGGCTCTAGAATGCAGGCTCGGTAGTTGTGGCACACAGGCTTATTTGCTCCGTGGCATGTGGGATCTTCCAGGACCAGGGATTGAACCTGTGTCCCCTGCACTGGCAGGGGGGGTCTTTTTTTTTTTTTTTGCGGTACGCGGGCCTCTCACTGTTGTGGCCTCTCCCGTTGCAGAGCACAGGCTCTGGATGCGCAGGCTCAGCGGCCATGGCTCGCAGGCCTAGCCGCTCCGCGGCATGTGGGATCTTCCCGGACCGGGGCACGAACCTGTGTCCCCTGCATCGGCAGGTGGACTCTTAACCACTGCGCCACCAGGGAAGCCCGGCAGGTGGATTCTTAACTACTGCACCACCAGGGAAGTCCCTCAGTAATGTTGAGGCGGGTAAAGTAAGTCCCTGAAAAATATATTCAAGCAGTCAGCAAAAGATGAGATTTTGAAAACTGAGGAGTAAGTTAGACCAAGAGAAGAGAGGACATCATAGTCATAGAGACAAGGAATAGCAGATGCATACCACCTCCCCCATTGCATGTGTCCCTAATGCAGAATTCTGGTATACCTGAATTCACTTCTGGATACCTTTTTTTGAACCCTGAGAAATTCTCTAAGTGAATTAATTGCTTGTTGGGAATAGTTGCAGGAGAAGAGTGAGGTTGGAAAGCCAATAAAAGAGATAAAGCAAAGCAGTTAGGAAAGGAATAGAGATGTTTACAATTAATTCCTGTCTAGGAAGCCAGGTGGGGGAAATTATATCTTGTGCTTCTGCCTGCCCTCCAGTGGCATCCCCAAGGAGGAAAGGGGCAAAGGTCAATGTCAGTTATGCTTCAGTGTCAGGATTACCAAGACTGAAGGAAGCTACGCTAACCTGGAGATTGGAGAGGGATTTTAAAAGTCAAAGACAACTAACTTAAGGTTTTCTCTGTGCTTTTTCCATCTCAAGCACTTAAGTAGGTTACTGTGTCTCTGAGATCACAATGGGAATGATCAATGGAGTTTTTAAACGAGAATTTTTGTGTCCAGAAAGAAAGGTTATTGTAGTAGTACTGAATTTATTGAAGCTATAAATTAAGAATCTCAGTTTTTACAAATCTCAGTTTTTACAAATGTTTAAGTTCAGTTTGCAAATTTTTTTTTTTTAGAAATACAGTAATTGTCCAAAAAACCCCCCCAAAACAGAAAAACTATCAGGCCTCCCAAATTCCCATGGGCCTTTCCTTATTTATCAGTGTCATCCATCATTTACTTCAGAGTAGAAGAAGCGTTTGCCTCAAGTAAGCAGACTACAGATTTTGACTAAAATGCAAGTTCTCAGGAAATCAAGGGGATTAGAAAGTGGATGCGCTGAATATTTACTTACTTTGTGGACCTTCTTCTTTGTTTTTGAGTTTGTCTTTCTTTACCAGAGTATAAAGCAGAAAACAGACACTTGCTTTTTCATTTATTTATATTTGCATAGAGAGTACTAAAAATAAAACCCACCAGATGACAGTCTTATCATTCTGCATTTATTTATTGTCTGGCTAACTTACAAAGACACAGATGTCTAAGGTAGGTCCTACCCCACCATATAAACTACCCTGATGACATAGGTACCAAAATGTGCATGTTTACATAATGCAGTGGTATGAAAACATTTTCTTTCTTTACAGCCCCTGACTGTAAATAGGGAAAAATTAATTTCATGCCAGAAAATTTTGGGCACTTTAACAGTCATCACATTTCTGCTACTAAAATAACAAAATTGGTATTACAAGTTAAACTATAAAGGCCTAACAGTTCTTACAAATATGCAAATAATCTGCTACTTAGACATAAAAAGTCAATTTCTTGCAAATCACCAAGTAAGGCACCATTGGATTAAACATTTTTCTTGGTTTTTACTAAATAAAATGCATATTGAAATAAATACTGAACACTGAATTTTAATACTGTAATACATTTCATTATAAAATATGTAAATATTAAGATACTGTATTGCATCTTGAATACATTTATCTGGAAATTTTATGGGGAAAAAACATATGTAAGCTCTGGTTTCAGGGAAGTAACTATTAATTTTTGTGATCTGCCATAGTTGACAATTTTAGCATAGAACTTATTCAGACTTTGGGATGTGATTAGGTTTCTAACTTTCAAAGAAAGGGTGTACATGTATTAATGGAATATTCACTTAAAAAATACATTTTAAAACATCTCTATCCTGGATGAATAGCAACTTTGAGCTGTGACCCTGCTTCAAACTTAGGATGGTATCTGCAAAGTTGGGATATATAAGGAAATTGGCCATACTTACTACACTTTACAAAATTCAGACCCATTTTCTTTGGGTCAGACTTTTCTCTGCCATATTTGCTAGGAAGGCCCAACTCCATCTTTTCTGAAGTGGGTCATTAGGCTTTATCATAGGGATTTTTACCAACTATTGATATCTGATCAAAGAATTCAAAATAAAATGATGCTGCTATATTACCAAAGTATTAGCGATTAAAAACTTTTTTTGGAAAATACTTTGCCAAGCTTGTTACACCTTTATGTTTCTTGATTTTCTTTGGGTAAAGGCCCCCAAATGAACGTATGAAAGACAAATTAATGGTGGTGGGCAGGGAACCCAAATTCTCTAATGTACTTAATAAGCCCAGGACTTTGGCAAGGAAAGTTATAAAAATACAAGAGGTTCAAATGGGCAACTTCATAAGTTATTAGACATCCCATTATTAGAACTCTAAGTTCTTTTGCTTTTATGTAAATGAAACATTTATTCTATAAATAGGAATGCTTCTTTCCAATTTTTCTTTGGATTGATTTCTTGTTAGCATCTCCCAGTAATACATGAACAATTCACTGAAACCATAATACAAAGTTTAGGTAGATATACATATACATATATAGCCGTGAACTTTAAAAAAATAAGTAATGGTAAATTTTAAACATAATTAACCATATAAAACATCTAAATGGAAATCTTTTTTTCCAAGTGTATAGCTAGATTTAAAAGTCCCAGTAAAGTTTTGTAAACAAAACCATACAAAAAGGGCAAGGCTGGCTCATCCCTATGGTCCTCTGGGGGAGCTTTATTTGCATAGATCCAAGGCAAATGATTCTCCCAGAAAGATTCAAAACAAGTTCCCTCCAATTTCCTGCAGCAGTCTCTTTCTCTCAACCCCATAATCACCAGATTTAGATTTTTAGAGTTTTGTCCATCAACTCAAAACTGTCCCCTTCTTCCACATTTCTGATTTGCTACCTTTCCCTGACTTTCCCCACAACTATGGAGCCTATGAGCCTCCTGCCCTAAGGAGCAAGCTGAGCTGGAGAGGAATGAAGCCACTTCCGATGCATAAGGCAGGAGGCCAACCGACAGATGAGCTCAAGGCAGCTGCTTCTCTGCCCCAGAGCCCCAACTGGCTTTCAGTTTCTGTCCAATGGCTTTATTCCACATGACTGTAAACCCTATTATATCAATTTCTGACCTTGGTACTGTGAAGCAACATCTGTATACAGATTTCCAGGGAAGAGGGAAAATAAGGGAGCAAAATCTAAGGAAAGCTGTTTGCCAAACAAGGTGTTGGGTCCTAACTTTATTTTTAGTTACCTCTTGAATTGCTAAAGCTCATCTTGCTTTTTTTGTTTTTTATACAAGAGGTTTTTGCACTAGCCTCTATCTTCTGGACCTGTGCTGCCCAACATGGTAGCCACCAACCATGTGTGGCTATTGAGCATTTGCAATGTGACAAGTCAGAATGGAGATGTGTTCTAAGTGTTAAATACATACCAGATTTTGAAGACTTAGTACCAAAAAATGAATATAAAATATCTCATTAAAAATGTTATATTGATTGCAGGTTGAAATGATATTTTGGATGTCGGTTATATAAAATATATTAAAGTTAATTTCACCTATTTTCCTTTTTAATGTGGCTACTAGAAATTGTAAAATTGTATATGTGGCTCACATTATATTTCTATTGGACAGCTCTGTCCGAGACCGCCAAAGATTGGACAGCCTGTAACTGCAAACATTTCATATGAGCAACTTGCTTAGGTGGTCTGTGGTTCATGGAAACAGGAGGCCAAACATGCAAAAAAGGCATGGAAGCAAACAGCTCTCAGGGACCTTAATATCGTGATCTGTAGCAAAAAAGCAGTGAATGTCTGAATTTCATGGGTTGAAAGCTGGGACACAACTCATCGCTGCCTACTTGCCACAAAAGCCTATACTGATCCCCAAAGCAGCCAACAGGCTATAGCTGAAGCAAGCAATAGCTTTAAGAATATACACAATATAAAAAGCGAGGTGCATTTCTTTACTGCATACCCACCCTGCACACACGCATTCCCACATCACCTCCCTCCTTCCCTATTGCCATCATGAAGGGGACAAGGGAATACAAGAGAAGGAGGGGTGTGTGACTTGGACAGCAACAGCAGGAGCTCCTGGGCCTGGGTGGAGAAGAGCAGGCAAGGATCACCTCGGGGCAGGAGGAAGGGGTGGGGCACCCCTTTCTCTTCGGTTGGATCCACCTTGATGAAAAAATAGACAAAATATAAACTTTGGTTAGAAAGCTTATGTTCTCACTGTAAAACTTAAGAATGGTTGCAAAAGAACCCACTGTCCGCGCCCCGCCATGATCAAGGCTGTAAATAACTTGCACGTGGGCATGAGAAATGAAGGGAAGAAGCAAGTATGGATCTGAACAAATTTTGCTAGAGAAGGATGACCTACCACTGGCTACCAAGTACTTGTGCGAAGTTAAGGTTTTTAAAAAGTCACTTTTTTTCTCTTCACATAGTATGTGTGATTATACATTACATATAATATATGTATTATAGATTGAGAAAATATGGATGAGAAAAAACAAAAATTCACCAATGCTTTTACCACCCAGAGATAACCAATAACATTATATGTATATTTTCCATATATAAACAGTTCCCTTTTTTCTTTCAAAAACAGGATCATATATAGTCCATCTGAACATTTTTCAAAGTCATTACTCTTTACAAATATAATTGTTAATGACACACTGCATTCTATTATATAGGTATACTATAGTTTATTTATCTAATCATTCCCCCTTTGTCGGGCATTTAGGTATCTTCTAATTTCTAAACAATGCTTTTTTTTTTTTTTTTTTTTTTTTTTTTGCGGTACGTGGACCTCTCACTGTTGGGGCCTCTCCCGTTGCGGAGCACAGGCTCTGGACGCGCAGGCTCAGCGGCCATGGCTCACGGGCTCAGCCGCTCCGCGGCATGTGGGATCTTCCCAGGCCAGGGCACGAACCTGCGTCCCCTGCATCGGCAGGCGGACTCTCAACCACTGCGCCACCAGGGAAGCCCTAAACAATGCTTTTTTGATAGCAGCCATCCTAATAGGTGTAAAGTGGTAGTTTTATTTGTAGTTTTATTTGTGTTTTCCTAATGATTAGTGATGTTGAGCATCTTTTTATGTGCTTATTGGCAAGCTGTATATCTTATTTCAAGAAATATCTATGCAAGTATTCAACCATTTAAAAAATTGAGTTGTTTTGTTGTTGTTGAATTGTAGGAATTCTTTATGTATTCCAGATATTAACCTTTTATCAGATATATGATTTGCAAATATTTTATCCCATTTCATGGGTTTTCTCTTCACTCTATTGATAGTGTTCTTTTAAAAACTATGCATATTCATGGGCTGTCAGCATGCCATAACTAGGTTTAAAATCCATTCACAATTAAAAAATTCATTTGTCCCATGCACATTTTGTTTTGAGGATCTAACAGGTGTTAGGCATGAAACCAGGTGCTCAGATGCTGTGAGTAGGTCTACCAGGGACTTGAGTCAATCGAGTAGGTCTGCTAAGGCCACGGTTCTGATACTCAGGTGGACTGGCATTGATGGATTCCTCAGCAGGCCACCACTTCCCTGACAGCAACCAAAGTAGCCCACTTAGGGATTCCTGAGTTAGAACAAATCTCTGAGCAAGGGGAGGAGTTAGAGGAAAACAGTGGCAGTCCATTTCCTTGCCTCTTCCTGTTTTTATCCCAACCAAGTCTTTTCTTGGGCAGGGACCTGAGGAAAGACTCATCTGGATGTAAATCAGCTGTCATGGAGACTTGACTGTCAATTGACACACCACAAATGTTGAGCAAAACAAGGGCTGGCCTTGTGCAAAGCTGCAATTAGGAGGCACCGTTCAGGGCTGTCTGGGTGCCCTACCAGGTAGTGGGCCTGGAGGCTGAGGCAGGTACAGGAGCAGGATAAAACCACTCCATAGTACTTTATTTGTGTTAGAGAGATGATCCATTATCATTATAAAATATTAAACATGCCCAATGCTAGAAATATTTTTTTAAAGCTACAAAAACATTTTTGGAGGGCTGTGGAAATTAATTTACCGATCTAAGAAATATTTTTAAATGCTGCTGTATTTCAAGCTCTGTGCCACTTTCAGAAGATGCAGTAGTGAGCAGGGCCTAGTTCCAGTTCTCAAGCTGCGGACAGTCATAAAGACAGGAAGTTGGGGGGAAGGAATGTGTTCAGCTATTAAATTAAAAATCTAGAGGGGCTGGGGAGGATGGCTCTGTTATTGACGTAAATATACAAATAGCACAGAGTGGGGTGGGGGGAGAGAACTCGAGGATGCTGTTCCCACGTGAAGACTTTTTCACCAAAAATTTCAACCACCAACTCTTGTATGATAATTTTATTACAGTTATGCCTCTTTTATTAGGCATCATCTAGAATGCAGTATTCCACATAAATAAGTTTTTCTAGGAATTAAACTTGTCCTTTCAAGCAGCAATATTCTGTTTACTTCTGGCATTTTTTTCAGGGAAATTTTTCTAAAATATTTTCTAATTCTTTGAATTCTTCAACAGAAGCACAAAGCACAATTTGTCTTGTTCTTAATAACCCAAGAGAAACAACTGTATTGTCCAGTGCTGTGATACCTAGCAGAGCTCTGTGTTCCTAGCTCCTCCCTTAACCCAAGACTGCCACCTATCTCTTCTCCCCGAAGTCAGTGATTTTGCTTCTAAACCAACCTTGACTTCAGCTGATATTAATCTGCTCTAAGGCTGGGAACCAACCAAGCAAAAATTAAGAACTGTGTGTTAAGAAAGAGTCAGTAGGCTCAGAGTACATGAAGGAGCTCTGCTGGGCAATGAGGACAAGGCTAGGATCATGTGACAGTTCTTTGACATGCTCAAACACTTTTTCTCCACTCATTTCTGGCTTGGGAGTTTGGTCTGAAGCTAAGGCTGTTACAAGATGGGGCCTCATCAGTGATATATGTATGTTTCATGCTAATTCTAACTTAGTTCTATACATTTATTGTTGTGAGATATCAGTTTTTCTATTTCCTCTTCTTGTTCACGTATTTCTTTTCAGTAGGGGAAAACTGATTCACTTCTTTATGGTAGCATTACATCTATAAGGAAAAAAACAATCTAAATGTCTAATAATGGTAAACTAAATTATTATATGCTGACTTGATGGAATTCTGTAGAATAAAAACCATGTGATAAAATAGGGAGGTGTTTACTCAGCAATGTTATATAAATCTCATCAGCAAAACCCATACTCTATAATTATTAAACTATATAAATTAATCAGAATTAGATGGATAAAAATTAGAAGACAACCTAGTAAAATGAAAATATCTGTTATGTTATGTGGAGAGATTATGGGTATACTTAAAATTTTCATGTAATGCTCTGTAAAGTTATGATTATATTTAAACGATGAAAGCAGTTACAGTGAGTTTTTGTTATAATTAGACATTCTGCCAGTCTCAAAACTAGTAGGAATAGAAGATGGCTCTAATTGTGCCATCTTAGGAAGATCAAAATGGGGAAAGACTGTCCAAACAAGCAAAATAATAAAATTTAACCTACTAGCAAACTAAAGGTATTTTGAGCTTGTAATGACACATTAAAATAATCATTTCTCATATGCATTCTGGATGTCTCCATTTTCCTCAATGAGTGTAGAAAGGGAGTTTACTAGAATTTATATGGTTCCAAATCCAGGAGTGATTTCTCTGAAATCGCCCCACTCCAGGCAAGAGACCTGGATTTCCTATACAACCCTCAGTTGTGTATAACCCAGGCTACTCAAGTATGAAGGCATCCAATTGCCCTTGTAGAAATACTCACTCCGGCTTTCATTTCTTGCCAATTTACTGGGATAACTTTTGGTTGTTGGTACATATGGCTCTGGAGGTGGCAAATCAGAAATCGGATGGAAGAAGAATCTGCTTTCCCACTCATCTGAGGGAGAGAAACCAACAGTATCTTCAGTAACAGACAATCTTCTCTGAAGACTTATGTAATGAAAGGCACAGAATGAAATAGCGAGAGAATGGCAGAGATCGCTTCTGGTTTTATGTCTAGAAGTTTAGAGAAAAGCCGGAAGTGCTACAAATGTCACTGATTAGCACAGCGATAAAATATACTGGTCTGCATATCAAACCAAAGACAGATCCAGGTGACTTTAACTAGAGTGACTAGGACCCAGCCAGTCCCTCTCAGGAGCTGGGGACTAAGGTTTGGGATGCCTTTCTTAATTATTCCTTCACCAGTGGAAGGAATAACTAGGACCCTCTGATAACAGTGGCAGAGATAAGCTGCTCAGTATCTGCAGGCCATTGGGCCTCTTACCCACCACGAACTGTTCAGAAAGGTAGGTATAATAAGGTTAGCTAAAAAAATGGTTCTTTTCAGAATTCTGGAATCTCTGGAAAGTTAACCAAAATGAGACTCAAACAAGGAACAGAGAAAAATGATCTGCCTTTTTGGGGAGTGGAGGAAGGGGGATTACTATTTTTCATTTGAAATCATGGTGGGCCCTAGAGTGCTTAGATTAGTGCTCTGCAGTATGATAACAATGAGGGTCACACAAACAAGAAATGTTAATGCAAACATACAAACAGACACAAACGCACCTGCCATTCAACTGCTGCCCTACTATAGCTTGTACATTTCCAAGGAGCCGGGACCACACCTCACCTTCACATGAAGAGTCTTGGAAGCCGTTTCTAATTGATGTCGATGGTGGAGGTGGGGGAGGCACCCCAGTGCCAGGCCTGTCGGGAGGAAGAGGAGGCCGGGGCCCACTTCTGGGACTGTCTGTTCCACTCCTGGATGGCAACTGAGGGGTGGCAGGCAGGGCCCGGGATGTGCTGCCATTTCTGTTCATTGGAGGAGGTGGTGGGAGAGGGCCTGGAGCAAAAGAAAAATGACATTTAGTGCTATACCTTACACTGTACATTACTATCATCATGGTCATCAACATGCAATTATTGAGTGCCTGCTGGATACATGCCCTTTTACTAGGGAATGTGGAGAAATGGTGGAGAGTTCCTAGGAGGTTTAGCCAAGAAATGATTAGACGCATATAAGCACAGAAATGCACAAATGTACACACATACGTGGAACAAGTACACATTGATAGCTAAATGGCTGTTTGGCTTTGAGTTGAGATTGGAGGTGATGCAGTTGACAATGGTAATCATCTGTTTATATTGACAACTGTATACTTTAAAAAACATTTAAAATTCCTTTTAAATAGCTGTTGAACTAATTACTGTGACATGTTACTTATTAAGTAAATGATGTTTTAAAAATAAGATAGTTATGAACTTATTTTAGGTCTCCAGAGGGACTAAGTTCTTTAAATGCATAGTATTATTGCTAATTATACAAGCATGTTTCTGTGATGCATATGATCTATTTCCAGGCAGAAGCAGGATCAGGAAACCAAACATCAGTTATCCCGAGAACAGTAAGAGTTCCTTCTTGGTTCTTCCTCTCTGGGGAGTCAGATTAACAGACGGAGTGACAATCAGCTAATCAATGTGCATGGCTATAAATGCTGGTGCAGTATCCTGACCCTGTGCAGGCTGGTTATCCTGTGGAACTTGATTTCCTGTCTACGAAAGAACACCTTTCTCACTGCACTGTTGCCAGATATACTTAGTCAAAAAGCAAATAAAAAGTATTATATGGTATTTGAAACCATGTTTTAAAAATGCAGTGGTGTGGTATAATCAGAAAATTTTAAGTTCTTAGTAAATAATTCAAAGTAAATTCTTCTTTTTGGTAGTACAAAGGAACATATCTTGCTTTTCCCATCCTCCAAATGCAGAGGCTGTTTGGGTCATGAGTAAATTTTTAAAAAGAAGAAAAGAACTTGAGCATCTCTCATGCAAATCAAAATGGCCTTAGTAATTATTCCTGACCTTCAGTGGTGTGTTCCACTAGCAACATGCTGACATCTTTATGTAAACACAATGTCTTATGGTGCTATAAATATAAATATGTCTTGTTAATTACAGATTCAGAATCCAACTAGAGGACCTTAAAGTGAATGACCCACCCATCAAAGATATTCCTGTCTGGAAGTCTTGGCTCAGATCTCTAATGGAGGTGGGAGGCATGCCCAGCCCTGGTTCGTCTCTCAAGGAGTCTTCAGTGCCTAATCTGGTAGGGTTTATTTATTGCCCCATCTGCTTCTCACTGCTGGAGTCCCAGTTAGTATGAGTAGATTTATTGGGGGGAGAAGTGGCTCACACGCTGTGGGCTTAATGGCAGTGGTAGTACCACCACATAACTGTCACTGAATGCAAACTAGACTTCCAATACTATGGGGCCTGGTACTGCGTAACCTGATCAACTTGATCTCTCTCTCTTTTAAAGTAACTGTTCATGTTCCTTACTCTCCAACCTTCCAGCCCTCTGCTCCAAACCTAGGCAAGCATAACAGAAAACAGATTTCTATTTCCTGTTGGCAGTATAATAATGAAAACGATCATTTGTTGAATGCTACTACATGTGGGGAAATAAGATAACCACTATACACACTGGTCTCATTTAATTCTTATAACAGCCCCGGGGAGCATGAGGACAGCAGGTGAGGCCTCAGAGGAGTTGGAAGGTTAAAGAGCCCAAATCAGTACACTAATGAGTGGAAGAATAGGATTTGACTCCATTCTGTCAAATTCTAAAACACTCCCCTAACAATGAAGCCAAGCCACCTCTCAAAATATAGATGGCCCTTGATGACTTCTCATAGGTTCCTTGTGGAAATGTAAATTGGTGGGAATTTTCTAGAGGCCAATTTGGCAATACCTATGAAATCCATAGTTTACTATGCACATCCATTGTCCTAGACCTAGGAATTCATCCAAAAGAAATACAGAGAAGTACACAAATATTTAGCTACAAGAATGTATCCCTGCATTATCTGCAATAGCAAAACTCTAGAGATGGCCTGTATGACCACGTGACAAATAAATAAGCCAAGGTACTTTTGTGGGATTTAATATTATGCAGCCATTAAAAGTCAGGTTGTAGGGCTTCCCTGGTGGCGCAGTGGTTGAGTCCCGCCTGCTGATGCAGGGGACACGGGTTCGTGCCCCGGTCCGGGAAGATCCCACATGCCGCGGAGCGGCTGGGCCCGTGAGCCATGGCCGCTGAGCCTGCGCGTCCGGAGCCTGTGCTCCGCAACGGGAGAGGCCACAACAGTGAGAGGCCCGTATACAAAAAAAAAAAAAGAAAAGTCAGGTTGTAAAAGAAGAGTTAATCGTATCAGAAAATAATGAGCTAAATTAAATAAAAAGCAAATTAGCAAACAATATATGTAGTATGATACTAATTTTGCAAACATGTATATATATGCATTTTAAAAAGACTGAAAGGGTGTATAAACAATGTTATATCTGGATGATGGTGGTGGCAGAATTATAGATGATTTTTATTTTCATTATACTTTTATGTATTTTGTATAATAAACAGGTATGACTTAATGTAATTGAAACAACAAATATACATCACTGCCTATCCTATTTGGGGGAATATTTAATCTGTTGATTAAATCATTTGGTAGAACCAAGCAAACAGCTCCTCAGCCATTTTGGGGGAAAATCCATACCTGTTGGATAAGTAGAAAATGATGCATTTCATTCATCTGACTGCTTGTTCTTATTTGTTCATTGAAGCATACCTAATGAGATGCCACAATGTCTAGACTGAATAGACTACCAACTTTTTATATTTGTAGCTGACTCTCCCTAGCAAAGTGGTTTGAAGAAGTGGTTTTCACTTTGCTACACATTACAGTCACTGGGGAGCTTCCAAATATCCTGATGCCCAGTTTGTAACCCAGACCAATGAAACCAGAAATCCTGGGGTAGGAACCCAGGCATGGTGGTTTTTAAAGCTCCCAGGTGATTCCAGTATGTGGTCAAGTTTGAGGACTACTATTTTAAAAAAGTGTTTATTAGGTTCCTGAGGTCAGGGGGTCAAAGGTCAGTTAGCTTCTCACAGAGCAAAAAATGCCCCATTTCCAGACATCCTGTAGGTATGGTAAGGTTAAATTCCAAAACTAGATAGTTCTTCTGAATCCATCAATAACAAACAGAAAACAAACAAGCACCTATTAAAACTAGGAGAGTACAGACTCCTCACACTTCATTTCACACTGTGCAGGTTCTCCCCTTAGATCCAGGTTTCCCAGCCCTGGGTGGGGACACAGACGGGCTTCAGCAGGTCCTTCAATCCATGAAACAGCAGGCAATTTTGAGTTTATGCTTATGAGCATTTTTATGGAGAGAAGGCCTTATTATACCTTTATCTGATTCTCCAAGGGATCTATGTGTCAGAGATGTGAACAGACAGCAAAATGGACTCTAGTATGTGTCAAAACGTGACCGATGAAGAGAAGCACAGGGGAAGTTCATTCACTCTTAAATAACTCCCTTTCTTGTTGGAATAATGGGCCCTCCTGCAGGAGATGGGTATTTAGTTCCCAGTTAAGACAGCAGAAATTCCCTTTCAGGAGATGTCAGGTAGAGTGGTGAGATGGAAGGTGAGTGAGTGGCCTGTTCCTTATTAACTCGCTTGGGATCATTTCACTTCATTGGTTACTTAGTCTCCTCACTTCTGAAACGTGGACAGAAGTATGGGTCCCACTCTCTTCAGAGGTTACGTGAGGCCAAGAGGAAATCATATGGGTTATGTGTCACTTCCAAGGTCAAAGCAGCCCGAGAGTTCACTTAAGCTTTTGTTGGGCTCTCTTCGTGTGCAGTTGGTAGTGACTTCTGGGCTGGCTGGGTCACAGGGGCACAACTCACCGCGCTCTGGCCATACCTGATCTGCCCGGTGGGTCCCTCACCGGAGGAGGGGGTCTCTCGCTGGGCGGGGGAGGAAGAGGTCCCGACCGCCCAGGTGAAGGTAAGGGAGGCGCAGATGACGACGACGACGAGGACGACGAGAGGGACAGGTTCCGCTGTGGGAGCCTCGGGATTTCGTCGCCGCCGCCTCCTCCGCCACTGGACCCTGGGGGCACTGGGGGAGGGCCCGGCCGGCTGGGGGGCGGGGGCGGGGCCTGCGCGGAGGGGGAAGGCCGCGGGGTGGAGGGCACCGGGGGCTTGCTGTTCTGAGGGGGAGGCGGGGGGACGGCCTCCCTGTGGATGGAGGGCCTGCTGCCCACTGGAGGGGGCGGAGGAGGGGGTTTGTCATCCAAGGCCCTGCTCGGGGTAGGGGGGAGGGGAGGCCGGTTGGAGAAGGGCGAGGAGGAGCCTGACGGGGTCTGGCGGCTGGAGCCTCCACCGAAAGCAGCCCCTCGGTTTCCGGGGAGAGGGGGAGGAGTCGGCCCGGGGCTGGGCTGCCTGGGGGCCCCGGGCACTAGGGTGGACCCCCGGTTGTGCAGACTTGACTGAACGGGTCTTGGAGTATTAGGCACTGGAGGCGGAATGTTATCAGGCTTCGCGCCCACGTCGGGCCTCGGGGGAGGCATTCGGTTCCTCTGAGGTTCTGGAGGTCCGCTTCTGTGGCCTGGAGAAGGCACAGGGAACCTCCCTGGGCCACTTGGGGGCGAGAAAGGTTTGGCAGATGTGGGTCTTCCTCCTGGTGGCAAAATTGGGGGTCGGCTTCCTCCAGAATCTGAAGAACAGAAAAAAAAAAAAAAAATCAGAAAGTTAGGAACCTTAAAGGCAATCAGAGAACTAGAGTAAATTGCCAGCTACTGGAAGCCCTTTCCTAGATGCTGTAAACGATAGGTAACTATTATTTATATAAACTAGGTTTTGTGTGTCCTTCCTGGAAGCAGAGGGACAGATCACAGCTCTCTGTTTCTCTTCTACTCCCAGATTCCACAACCCATCAGCTTTCAAAGGGATTCTGGAGAGCTCTCTTGGCATTATGGATGGACAAGAACCAGGATGAGGTTGGTAAGAGTTCTGGAGACATCCCTGTTCACTACAAGAGGTCGAGAACAGGATGGCATTGGTACATGGGATTTCTGCTAATGATTTTCTTTTCTCCCCGTCACTATCCCTGTCCCCCCACCCTGTACCTCTCAGGTTTGGAAAATAATGTAGCTTTCTTAGATGAAGAAATTAGTTATCCCAATATAAGTTTCTGTATGGGAGGGCTTACCTAGAACCTGTAAAGGTAAATTTCTAAGAGAGAATGGAAAAATATAGTGGAAGAGTTATGATTGAAATAAGAAACTGTCAAAGGAAAAAGAAACTGTCAAAGTTTAAAAGAGTTGACACCAGTGGACGGTCTTATTCTACAAACAAGTAGGCAACTATACAATGTTTTTCCCTACTAGGTCAGCTTCCACTTTAATACTGACAGGACAGAACAACCCTACTATTAATACATAATTAATATTCAATTACTTTAGTTCAACAAAGGGAAGAACTAAAGAGGAAACAAGTTATGGAAAAACCCAAACCACCACCCCAGAGTCTCTTAAAACCTAAACTAATTCTCAAAAAATGCTTAGTCTGAAAAAACTTTACCCAGTTCAACTATGAGCTAATTAATGTACCAAATATTAACCTGCTATACTATACGCCAGCCATTATTCTAGATGCTAGAGGCAGAGGAGTAAACAAAACAGAAAAGATCTGGCTCTCTTGTAGTTTACGTTCTTCTGGGGGAGATAAACAAAAAACCAGTAAACATAAATATTTTCAGATAGTTATAAGGACTAAAAAGAAACTAAAATAGGCTGATGAGATGAAGAATGCCCAGAGAGGCCAGGATAGATGGGCGTGGCCCTTCTGAGGATGTGACATTTGAGCTAAGGCCCGCCATGGAGAGGAGGAAGAGAAGTGCTTCAGTCAGGGCCAGCAGGTGCAAAGGCCCTGAGGTGGAAATGAGCTTCAAGTTAAAAAACCAAGGCTTTTATGTGTGTGGGGCACAGTGAGCATGGAGGAGAACCCTACGAAATGTAGCCTGAGTGGCCAGCAGGGGCCGGGTCATAAAGAGCCTTGTAGGCCAGAAGGCGTTCAGATTTTATCCAAGGCACAATGAGAGACATTTGGCTGGATTTATGAATAATGTGAACTCTAGAGAGAATTTTTTATTTTGACTTTAGCACTAGAAATGAGCTATATTTTCCTTGACTGTGTGGTATAGTTCTATGTCACCAACTTGTGATAAGTTTTACCTTCCAAATTTGGATTAAAGGTACAGTTACTAGCCACATATATGTTGCAGGGATGGGACCCATTATGCAGATAGTATACTATGCAAATACTGTAGCATTTTGTGTACTAACTTAAATTCCATCTTCATTTCATTGTTTTACTTCCAGTTGTCTTTTGCCTGAATTTCTTCACCTACTGTTAAAGTACTGAATGTATGCATTTGTCAGTTGCCTCAAGTCCTTTCAGTGGGTTTTAAATAAATTTAAATGCAGGCCTGGCAAGATAGAATCTCTCATATTCTTCAGTCTCCTTCTAGATGTTGACAATCCAAAACTAAAATAGCCAGGTAACCCTGAGGATTCAGTGACTTTATCTTCATATGAATGTGACAGTTTCACACTTTCCCAGTGGACATTTTAAAAGGCCATAGAATTAGGAATAAAATTCTTCTAACACAGTAAACATTAAAAAGTAAAGTTTCATGGTGAAATTTCTTGAGCTTCTGTCATAGTCAGGGGAGAGCCTCACACACTCTGTAAGGTTTTTTATTTAGGCATGACCAGGTTTAACTTTTTTCTGTGCCATCGTGTTCACAGACAATCCTGTAGGACTCATTTCCATGGCTTCCTGCAGAGGATACTTAGAATCACTAGCTCTGAAATGCCAAATGTCAGGCAAAACACCTTTTTAGATTTTGTGAGATATGTAATTATATTTCATATGACATGCTCCATCGTGTTTGGAAAGAGACCCACAAGTATTTACTACACTCGACAGGTGGGTCAGACTACCTCACAAAGAAAGCTGAATCTGCCAGGTCACCAGGCAGAGTTTCCAGGGGTGGCAAGTCCCATTTGCTCCTTCCTTTTCTTCCCACTCTAGCTTACCCTTTAGAAAAGTACAAAAAAGTACAAGTTACCCCAAGGACACTGGGCAAATATTTAACAGCTCAGTGGAGCTGTCTGATCCTGATTTAAAAAGAAAAAGAAAAAAAAAAAGATGCTAAACAGAGTCCCTCTTTTTTTAAAAAAATTATTTTATTTCATTTATTTTTGGCTGCGTTAGGTCTTCGTTGCGGTGCGCGGGCTTCTCATTGCAGAGCGGCTTCTCTTGTTGCGCAGCACGGGCTCTAGGTGTGCGGGCTTCCGTAGTTGTGGCACATGGGCTCAGTAGTTGTGGCTCGCGGGCTCTAGAGCACAGGCTCAGTAGTTGTGGAGAACGGGCTTAGTTGCTCCGTGGCATGTGGGATCTTCCTGGACCGGGGCTTGAACCCGTGTCCCCTGTGTTGGCAGGCGGATTCTTAACCACCGCGCCACCAGGAAAGTCCCTTGAGTCCCTCTTAGAAAACAGCCTTAACATTTCAAGAAATCTAAAATGTTTCACAGGGCACAGTGCCTTAGAGGGGATGCCAAGTCTCAAAACCGCCAGACTCAGCCTTGTCTTCAGTAACTAAGGAAGGAAACTCTCCTTACCACTCTCCCTGTTGGCTGTGGATCTCAGCTTTGGCATCCCAGCCTGGAACAGTCCTCCCAAACCGGGTGGTCCACCCCCTCCAAAACTCCCACTGCTGCCTCCGCCACCACCACCAGCTCCTTTAGGTTCTGCAGAAGGAAGAAAACACAGCCTTTACACATGTATGAAGACACCACCAGAGAACTTTACCAGTCCTCGCCCAAGTAAACAATCATGATACAACAGGGAGCTGGCAGAACCTAAGCCCATGGTGGACACCTGGAATTTCATTAAGGGGTAGGACTTTAAGGATCCACCCTATTCCCCCGTCAGAAAAGCAGAGGGTTCTTTCTACTCCAGGGCAGTCGCAAGCCCAGTGGTAGAAGAATCAGTAATAGATAATGACTTTCCCCTGCTTGGCTGGCTGCCACATGAGTTAATATCTATTGTGTATCACAGGATTTGGTAAATAAAAGTATCTTCAAAGAAAGAAAGTCTTAAGGGAGGAGGAGATGCAATAAAAGGTGAGAAGAAAGGAAACAGCAAAAATAAAGGAGAAGAAAATAAAACATCCCATAATTCTGCTTCATTGAAATAGCCACTTTTTTGGTGTATTTTTCCCTGCCAGGTTTTGGTGGTTTTTTTTGTTTTTTTCATTTTACGTATTTTTTCTCACGACCAAATTCACTACATAGTTTTCAGCCTGCTCTTTTCAGTCAATACTTTATTGTTAGCATTTCCCATGTCACTAAATATTTTTTGAAAATATGAGTTTAAAGGATTGCATTGTGTTTTAGAACACTGACTACTGTAATTTATTTATCCATCTACCTATTTGATGGCCTTCCAGGTTGATTTCAATTTTTTAATATCATAAAACCCAACAGTAGACTTTAACATTTTTAAAATTCTTTGCAACTTGAGACGATGCAAAGATTTTGTTTTATTTTGCATTTGTTGCCAGAAAACTGTGAAAGATTTCAAATTAGGCAAACAAGAAAACAAGAAAAAAAAGGAAGAAGAAGAAAGAAAAAGATTACTAAGTATCCAGTCTAGCCTTCTGGGTTATTTCCCATTGCCTTTGAGCTAGTCTGCAACTCTGTTAAATTGTACAAAACTGATAATAATGCAAATGATATTTGTCCACAGAAATGCATATTGGTTGTGTTCAGTGTCATGCAATTGATTGACCTGTTTTGCACCTATTTGTAAATTCGTTTCAACACTCACCTGCCTACATATGTGTGGCACTTCGAATTCTCCTTTGAACTGATAACATTATATTGGTTCCCTCATTAATTAATGAGCTAAATAAAATCTTTGATATATGCTTATTTTATATCTGTATTAGAGCCATGATTATACCCTCTTTAAAAACTTGTCTCAACAATTTATGTATGTATATATGTTTTATGAGGTTAAGTACTGTTTAAAGTTCTACCCCTGGAAAACCTTGTTGAGTCTTTGGTAAGTATTACACGAGATCTACAAATTAATCTGGGAGAACTGACACTTTCATGATATTTAGACTTTATGGAAACATGGTATATTTTCCCATGTCTTCTGATTTATTCAGTAAAGTTTTGTAATTTTCATGATGTGGGTCACCCATAGTTCTTTTAGAGTCACTTCAAATACATTTTTGTTTGTTGAAATTACGAAAGGAATGTTTTTCCTACTATATTTTGGATTTGGTTATTGTTGGCATCAGGAAATTTCATTTGATATCTAATAAATCACTTTCCTACATTTTCAGAATTAAAATTTATTTTTTACCTTGGATTTTCTAGTAGACAAATGCTCTGCAAATAATAAAGGTGTATGCCTTCTTTTCTAAGAGTTGTATATCTTATTTCTGTTTTATATAAGAAATTACTTTGATGACTGAGCTTCCATAACAGTGTAAGTTATTAATGTTTTATTAATTTAAAGACAATTTATTTTAAAATAATTATAAAGAATAAATATACATTTATATATTTATCTTAAATTATTAACGTTATTAGTATTTTAAAAATAAAGGAAATCATGTTTTGATTTTAATGAGAATGCCTCTGTTTCAAAGTTACATTTTTTTAAAAAATATTTATTTATTTGTTTATTTTTGGCTGCAATGGGTCTTTGTTGCTGCGTGTGGGCTTTCTCTAGTTGTGGCAAGCAGGGGCTACTCTTCGTTGTGGTGCACGGGCTTCTCATTGGGGTGGCTTCTCTTGTTGCGGAGCACAGGCTCAGTAGTTGTGGCGCAGGGGCTTAGCTGTTCGGCGGCATGTGGGGTCTTCCTGGATCAGGGCTTGAACTCGTGTCCCCTGCATTGGCAGGCGGATTCTTAACCACTGCACCACCAGGGAAGCCCCCAAGTTACATACTGACTTGGTTTGAAATAAATTTTTCTTCTTTCTAAGCATTCGTGGTTAGCAAGGATCCTTCCACTCTGGGTTTTTAAGACTTTCTTATAGCGTGGAATTTTATCAAATGCCTACCCAGGATCTACTGAGATCATTATATGGTTTTCCTTATTTGATATGATGGATATATAGACTTTATAACATTAAAAATGAGACAAACTCTGGATTTGGTGAATTATTTTTTTAATATACTATTGAATTAGAGTTTTTGGATTTTTAGTTAGTATCCTCTCGTCTGTGATCATAAGTGGTCTATAGTAGGGTTTCTTAGCCTTGGAACTACAGACATTTTGGGTCAGATAATTCTTTGTTGTGGGTGACCATCTTGTTCCCTGTAGAATGTTTACAGCATCCCTGGCCTCTACCCACTAGGTGTCAGTAGGAGCCCTCCCTCACCAAGTTGTGATGACTAAAAATGCCTCTAGGCATTGCCACATGTCCCCTGAGACACTGATACACCAGCTTTCTTGCTGTATATATGCTGCCTTTGTCATGTTTTGATATTAAGATCAGGCCAATCTCATTATACCTAACAGATAGCTTTCCATGTCTTCCTACATTTAGAAATGACTTATATAGCATTTGAATTTGTTGTTTCTTAAAATCTGAAATAATTTTCTGATAAAATCATCTGGCTCTAAAGCTTTTTAGAGAAAAAGTAATTTGATAAAGTTTTCAACTTTTTCCTTGCTCACTGAAGCTTCATGAATGATTTTTGGTAAATTTGTACTTTTCTTAAAAAGTTAAATTCTTTAAGATTTCAAAATGTTTTAGCATATAACTTCATTGTAGCATCCTTAATTTTTAGAAAATCTGCTTGGAATCTTTTATTTAGTCTGCTTTCTGAGCTCTATTTATTCATTTGTGTTTTCTTTTTTTTCTGGATTAGATTGTATCTTTTCTAGATGTGGAACTTTCTGGGATACTTATGGGAACTCTGCTGATAGAAGAAACAATCTGATACTGACCTCACAAGAATTACTTCGCCTAGTACAATATATCAAATTAGAATAACAATTTCTGGAAGTGCATGCAAAATTGCTTCCATATAAAATTTAAAAGTTTTAATCATTTAAATTATTGCCAATAATATTAATAATGCCCTTGTCATTAAAACGTTATTCGTTGATGAACGATACATTCTGCAATACTGCATTTCATAGGACACCTTTACCTGGTATTGAACATTCAAAGGGATCGATGAACTTGTTCTATCAGACATCATCCACTAGTGTTCTTAACTTGCAACAGTTGTACAGCTTTCCGATAGAGAAGCTACACTAGTTGAGGATAGCTAACTGGCTCCAGGTCACTCTGCTAACAATTAAATTGGAGGACAAAGCTGACCTCAAGAGTTATATCATGTATAACCATGGTCAACATTTTGACATAGAACCCAGGGAGGTTTCACCTGCAAACAAATACAAAACCATGGATGGACTTTGCCACTTGCAAAGAGCTTCTAACAACAGTGTTAGCGTCCAGTTAAGTTCATGGACAACAAGGGCATGCACTGGGTTGCATCTGGTGTCCACAAGGCAAAGTGCATTCTTAAATATCACTGAGCAGATGGGAGGGAGAACTAACACTCTT